TCAACCTCCGTGCTGAAACCCACAACGTTGAGGCAAAGGAGGAGGTTCGAACGTTGCATTGCTGCACCGCTTTGTGGGGGTACTGCTGTCAGCCTTCTGGACTCTGGTGTTTGGGTTTAGACTAGAATTTCCTATCCCAGCCATAGCAACAACGTCTCTGCGATGACATTCCAGATGGAGAGTTCTGTGCTTGCCAGTATGTAGGGCGAAGCCTAATTACTCAAAAAAACACTTGGGGCTCCGCCATCCGTTCTAGCAAGCTGGACGCGAAGCACATCCTCCCCGAAATCCATACCTACAAGTCGTTTTGTGCTGAGAACCGTACGGTGGAGGGCTGCCCTAACCTCTAGGGTTTGGGGTTTAGGGTTTAGGGCTTAGGGTGTGTCAGGGGAGGGCGCTAGTGGAGGGCTGCCCTAACCTCCAGACCCCCGCAGCTGCCTCAACCTCAAACTCCGAAGCCCAAACCAAATCACGGGCCTGGCTTCACGGCTTCTGCCGTGTGGTGTGCCGCCCGACGGATCTGGCCCAAGGAAACACAGAGCACCTGTGACGTGTCAGTGGTTCCAAGCCTAAACCCTAAACCCCAAAGGTTTAAGGTATAGGGCTTCGGGATGAGATTTAGATTTCAGGGCTTTCGGGTTCCGGTTTAAGAGTCAATTCTCTAGAGGCCTCAAGTTCTTGAGTGCTGCCGGCAGACAAGCCCCACACAAAACCCCGACCCTAAACGCCCTAAACCCTAAACCCGGGGGTTTGATGACTCGAGGAAACTGCTCCATGGCAGCCTTTTCAAGTTTTCACTGAAATTACGCAACGGGGCGTGTCTGTGAAAAAAGAGTAACCAGTAGTAAGAAGCCATCCGGCCTTACCAGAAAAATGCTCATGTCATGCTTCTAGCGCTCCCAGCTACCAACAGCACAATACTCATGGGCTTCAGCCTTGGAAGAAAAGGAGCTCGGATCAAACAATGTGAGGCTTTTAATACTGTTAGGTCTTTGAATGGGCTAACTATTTGGGATCGGGTGCTTCAGGGTGGGGGGGGGGGGGGGACATGGTACCAATGGTACATGTCTTGCAGAATGGGAAAATCAGGGCAGAAATGCGCGGGCCACCGGCGAGTCTAAAAACACTGCGGAATCCTGAGCCCTAAGCCCGAAACCAGGTTCATGATTCTCATTAACCAATGAAAACTGTACTTATAACTCTACTAGCTATAACCATATTAGGGCACTTAAGGGGCTTTTAAAGTGGTGAAGAAGTACCACGAACCTCCAAGCAAACCCAAAAGCCCTAAACCCTAAACCATAAACCCTAAGCCCTAAACTCTCATCAAGCCGGCGCGCTGTCTGGCTCAGGTAGACACAGACCAAGAAGGTGAGAAACGGGCCGTATCGTTTCCTCAGAAACCACCGTCCCTGCACACCGAGGCCGCAACCTTTAGGGTTTTGGGTTTAGGGTTTAGAGTCTATGAGCCCTAAATCTTACAGACTCGGAGCCCGAAACCCTAAGACCTCCATCCTCTAGACCCTCAAGCCTAAACATAAAATGCTACAGACCCTAAATGCCATGCCCCTGAACCCTAAACCCTAAACCCTAAACCCTTCTCAAGGTTTAAGTTGGATCATGGCCAGCTGTTGGTCTCTTGCAAAGAAAACGGACCCTGCACATCCCCTGCAATATTTAGGGTTTAGGGGGGTTTAGGGTTTAGTGTTTAGGGTTTCAGAGTTTGGGGGTGTTGAAGGGTTTTTAAAGGCACCAAACCCAGATCCTGCACAAAGAAGCAAAAACTCTGGGTTTTTAGGGCTTAAGGGTTTTGTTCTCGGGCTTTGGGGAGGGGGGGGGGGAAGAACATTTCGACTTGGTGCACTTCTGTACGGCTTAGGGTTTTGCGCTTGAGGGCCTTCTACCACGAAGTATCTTGTAATTATTGTTTGTTTAGTTACTATGCTAACAAAGATATTCCCGTCACCCCCCCCCCCCTCCCCACCCCGGCCCCCTCAAATTACAACTACATCTATACATGTCCCAGACCTTGCCCTCAACCTCAACATGTCGGGAGCAAGGCATTGGGGTTGATGATGCGACAATCTATCACCTGCATCTCCCTGAACGCAGGGCTTGGCTTAGAGTTTCGGGTGTAGGGGTGCAGGGTTGAACTAAAGTTTAGGCTTTACAACCCGAAACCCGAAACCCGAAACCCTAAACCCTAAACCCTAAACCCTAAACCCTAAACCCTAAACCCTAAACCCTAAACCAAGAGTGTACTTTCGTGGCTGTATCGGGCACTAAGGACTTCAACCCGGGGTTCTTTCCTCAACTCTTCGCCAGGTCAAAAATGTTCGGGTTTCAGCACCCAAACCCTATAATAGGGTTTAGGGTTTCGGGTTTAGGTTCTAGGGTTTAGGGTTTAGGGTTTCGGGTTTAGGGTTTAGGGTCAGGGATTATTACCCGAAACAACAAGCCCAAATTTCAACCACAAAGCCCTAAACCCCGTGAGCGTGCAAGAGTTCCAGTCAAGCTAAACCCTCTAAGCCCGCTCATTCCTAAACCCTAAACCCTGATGCCTGCTCAAGAAAGGCCCCAGCCTGAACCTCAAAGTACTATTTGCTTAAGAACCCCACCCCCACCCCCACCCCCAACAAAAAAAAAAAAAAACATTCTTCCTTGTAACGGCAGCATAGGGATTATCTTCGATTATCTGTTTGGTGGGTTCTTAAGCAAATGATAGCAATTAAGGAATACACCAAAAATTACAAAGTGATCCTTAACAAGATCAAAGTCAAAGGGTGGTTCTTAAGCAAATACTAGACGAAAATGCACCTCAACCCTAAACCCTAAGCCCTAAGCCCTAGGCCCTAAGCCCTAAGCCCTAAGCCCTAAGCCCTAAGCCCTCAGCCCTCAGCCCTAAGGCCTAAGGCCTAAGGCCTAAGGCCTAAGGCCTAAGCCCTAAGCCCTAAGCCCTAAGCAAGCAGCAGCAATTAAGCGCAAGCCAGGCCACCGCATCCAAAAGAAGTGGAGCGGCACGGCCATGATGGACAGGGCTGCCAGACACAACGTCATAGTACCTTCGCCCAGATCGAGGGACCCAAGGGCCCCTCGACGCTAAACCCTAAACCCTGAACCCCAAAACCCAAAGCCCTAAACCCTAAATCCTGAGCCCATGTAGACCGTATATAAACCCTAAACCCTCAACCCTAAAGCCTAAAGCCCTGAAGCCCTGATCTGGATAGGGCGTTGGAGCAGCCTCCGAAAATCCAATGCAGTCCTGGTATAAAGTTGTTTGTGGGTGCGGTGTGACCCGCGAGCCGGACTCATACACGCGGGCTGTGTTAAGTTAAGTTTTTTTTGGCGGGGTTTGGGTTCTTTGAACAACAGAGAGCCCAAGTTTAGACCCCAACCACTACATAAAGCGCAACCCAGAACAACTTTCCGCGATTCCAACCCCGGAGTATCCCTCCCTTATCTGCGTCCCTAGAGTCCCGAAACCCTCCAAGGATCCAAAGAGGCCAAAAGTCCTGTACTTGAAGGTTCATGGTACTTACTAACCAATTATAACTGTACTTACAACCCTACTTATAATACCCCTAAAGGGCCTTATAGGGGTTATCCCAATTGTAAGTAGGGTTATAAGCCCAGTTATAATTGGTTAGTAAGTACCATGAACCTTCAAGTAGGGCTTTGGGGTTCTTGGGGTTTTTTTCCCCCTCCCCCTAATATTAAACCTCCCCGACCCCCTGCTATTAAAATCCCCCAATAGACTATGATATAACGATAATGGGGTGTATTTAATTTCGGGGGTAGGGGGGGTTTAATCTTCGGGGGAGGGGATTAGTCATGCCGCGAAGCTGTCTGTAGTGAAGATTGCCGCGTACATTGGGAATGGGAAGAACAACAAGACTCGGAGGTAGAACCTGCCGCCATGCACGCCCAAAAGTTGCACGAGGTGTTTAGGGTTTAGGGTTTAGGGTCTTTGTGGAATTTCGGCTTACGGGGCGCTAGCACTGGAAATTGGCGAGCTACAGGACATGTGGGACAACGGATGCGGAATGCAGGGATCTCAATTAGCATGATGCACCCTACGCCCTGGCCCCTCCAACCTATGACCCCTAAACATCCCTAAGCTCTAATGCTTAAACCTAAACCATATTGGGTCTTTGCTTGGTCTCGCTTGTCGTGCTTGCCTCAGCATCATGCTGCGAGAGAACGCCATCGCTTGGCGTTGTCGCCAACTGCCAGCTGCCCATGCAAGGGCAGTGGCGCATGGTCGAATGAATATGCCAGTGCTACTAAACGGCTTTGGGGTTTTGGTTTTAGGGTTTAGGGTGGGCTTCCTGAAGGGTTCAATCGGTGTGTAGTCATATGTGTGTGTGCTAACCAAATGGAATCTAGCGCGGGCGCCTTTCGATTTGCAGAAAGCTGAAGCTTGCATCGGGCCTCCACTGGGTTGCGACGATGTCTTTCGACTTTAACACTAAACGCGCTGAAACGGCTTCACGTGCCACGCATAACGATCAATGGTCCAAAGCATTCAGCATGCACGCGTGTGGCACACAATCACTTCGAAGGTCGGCGCGACATGACAGTGGGGATGTAATGCAGTCAGCTCACCTCGATTCTATTATTAGAAATGGGCATTGCCTAAAGAGGGTTCTTTGGTAGTACCAGCTGTGGAACGAAGTCCCTCAAAAACCCTACTTGGCGTGGTTTCTGGGCGCCAAATATATAGTACTGGCTTTCCGAACAAGAGTGCCTTCCCTGGGGCATCCGATAAGAAAGACTATAGTATCTTGTGATGCTTTGGGACCACTCACTCTCTTCGAGAAGAACCACGGGTTAACATTCTTTAGACTGCGAACCCAACCTCTGAACCCTCAACCCTCAACCCTGAACCCCAAACTGCCCTAGTTTCGGAATCCCCCATATCCATAAACCCTAAACCCTAAAGCCTAAACCCTAAACCCCGGCTTGGCATCTTCCGGCTTCATGTAATCTGGGCCCAGTGCTTTTGCGCAGGATGCCATGACCTTTGCCCAGGAAACAGCAACAAGGAAACTCACCCTAAGGATCCACAAGGGTTTTGGGTTTCATACACTACTTAAAGTTAGGCCCCCCCAAGTGTAGTTTTGTTTGTGCGAAGTACGAGTACCGATTTTATCGGGCTAGCCTGGGTCTACACCCTAAATCTGACATCTGCTGAATCGGAGCACGTGCTAAGCAGCTCGGGTGCAGACCAAACGCTCCCTCAACTCCTGCTGTTGCTGCTGGACGGAGAGTCCTTCCTCCAAAGGATGCAGCATGAGCTCGGGTTTAGGGTTTAGGGTTGGATATAACATGCAATCCTGTGCAGCCAGTGAAAACCGATTGCCTAGAGGCTACTCTGACATGCGCAAATGCACCGAGAATCCGATCCTTAAGTCCTGCCTGATCTACCCTCCAAGAGAGGGACAGCCGCAGGCATTCTTCCTGCAAATCGTCCAGAGGCAACTCCTCGCGAGAAACACTTAGCTGTCCCAGTATCCGAAGGAACGAAAAAGTTCACCTTTGAGACCATATCGGGACGATAATGCTCCAAAAAAAGGTGCACAAAAGCTGCCTGTGACGCAGAGCGGCAGCTGCAGCATGAGCCCCGTGGTCCTTCCACAGCAGCACCGTTTTGATGTTTTCCACCAATTCCTGCTTCGACGACAGTCATCGCGCACGGAAGGCGATCGGGAAAACTAATCAAGCAAAGTGATGCACGAAAGACTGACTCTTCTCAAAGTGAACCAACACTTCTGATGCGAATTTCTTGTCCGTCCCGCCCCCCCCCCCCCAAACTGAAAATAAATACTTGCGGCCAGCTCTTATCTTCAGTAGCAAAACACAACATCATGCAGCATAAAACCCTACTGCAAGGCACATTGATGCTAACAATCTTGCCATGGCCTTTCATTTGCTGACGAGAACCCAAGAAAACTAACGTCCATAAGCCCGAAACATTACAAACAAGTTCTTAAGCCACTGTAATTGGCCTGGCGTGTCATCGTACCAAATGCTTCCTGTGGCAAGCCAGACACCTCAAAGCACTTCCCAAAAGGATCCACGTACCTAAATAAGGGCTTAGGGCCACTTCGGGTTCAAGGTTGAGGGGTTATAGTACCTGTAAGGCCCAAGTTTACTTGGGCACGTGGATCCTTAGGGCTATGTGGCTGAGCTCACGAAAGGTATGTTACGTTACTGAATGGTAATGAAAAACAGGGATCCTTTACCCTAAGGCCATGTACCTGTAGCCATGTACCTATAGAGTACATACATAGGCCCTAAGGCTATTACAAAGGAACCCCTTTACTGCCCCAGTGTTTGTATAGGTACATGGATGCAAGCTGTCTCGCACCATCGTGTGCCATGAAACATCATGAAACTTGCTCGCAGGGGGCTGGCACGCTTTCGCAGTGCTGAAACCGAGGCCGTTGCCGAAGAAAGCCTGCCAAGGCTGCTGGCATCGCTCGGTTTCTGTTGGGTTAGTGGTACTACTAGACTTCGTGATTCATATTATTCTAAACTCCCAGTCTGACTTTAAGGAACAATTGGTCTGGCTGTTAAAGTTAACCTGGGCTGCCCGAAACTCGAAATGCAAACTTTTCGAAACGTGCGCACTCGCCCAGCGCAGCTGTACCAACTAAAATACACGCTGCCAGCACCGACGACTCTGCAACAGGGATGAGGTGCCAGGGTGCAAGGAGTTTGTCAACTACAGCAGGTTTGGGGTTTAGG